AGTGCTCCTTGGAGGCCAGGATGGCCAAACTTCATCTCTCATACTTCGGACATACTGTCAGGAGGGACCAGTTGCTGGAGAAGGATATCATGTTTGGTAAATTGGAGGGTCAGAGAAAAAGAGGATGACCCCCAGCGAGATGGACTGACAAATGGCAACATCAGTGGGCTCAAGCATGGCAACAATTGTGAGGTTGGCTTGGGCAGTGTTTCATTCTGCTGTGCATAAGGTCGCTATGAGTCAGTACCCACTCGATGGCACCTAACAACAAGTTTTTGCAGGACCAGAAAGCCTCATCTTTCTCCTGCAGAACAACTGGCAGGCTCGAACTGCTGGCCTTGTGGTTAACAGCCTGATGTGTAGCCCACCTTGCCACCAGCGCTATTAGCAGTGAAGCATACTCTTGTAACTTTTGGGTACCACTCTGTTGGTTTGGTTTTTAGAATACCGCTAGGAAGTCTAATAAGGCTGAGCCAGTAAAGATGGTTTGTTGTTGTTATTGGGCCACTGGTTCAAGGAGAGTTCAGCTGACTCCACCTGATAGGCCAGATCTGGCCAGTTCCTGATTATTTTTATAAAGTTTGACTGGAACGTAGTCACACTCATTTGTGCATATGTAATCCTAGTGTGGCGCTGCGGGTTAGTGCACTGGACTGCAAAGTCAGTTTGAAGCGCAAGGTCGGCGGTTAAAGCTCACCATCTGCTCCTCAGAAACCCTATACAAGGTAGTTATGGGTCGAAACCGAATCTACAGCAATTAACAACAACAACAATCTCTGGTTGTTTTTGCAACGACAGGGTTGAGTTGTGACAGAGACCATATGACTGACAAGGCCTAAAACATCTGGCCCTTTATAGCAAAGCTTTGCTGACCTCTGCTTTAGAGTCCACTGGAATTTTTTATATACGTAGTGATGAGACAGTTGGGCATCCCGACGGGGTCTGTGGGTGAAGAAACATGAGGTGGAGATGCAGCTATAATTTTAAGTTACGTAAAGAATAACCTATGGCGGACTTGAAATAGTCATGATGATACTGGAAGGGACAAGGGGAAGGTGGGATGTGTGTATTAAATTATCTTTTTGCATAGCAAAAAGTCACTGTTGTTGTTAAGTGCTGTCAAGTTGGTTCCGACTCATAGCGACCCTGTAAAGGGTTTCTGAGGAGCGGGTGGTGGGTTTGAACTGCCAGCCTTGTGGTTCGAAGTCCAGTGCTGATCCAGAAAATCCTAGCTATGTCTAAGATTGACAGGTCAAGAAATAGCTGTCCATCCTGAGCACCATCCAGAACCTTCTGAGGTGGGACATTCCCATTAGCAAGGACAAGCAGACCAGCCTGGAACAGCTAGAGCAACAGAAGATTCATCTTCAAACAAAGATCATCAGGAAAAACCCAAAACAAAAATGTCAGCATGACTAGATACTACAAGAAACAGCAAGTTGTTCGTCAGGAAGCCATCAAGGCCAGCAATCAAGTCCCTTCAGGACAAACCCCCTCTAAGACTGAAACTCAAAGGGAACATGGGCATGCATGTAAGCTTGCTGGTGACCACATTGGTCTGCTGGTGAGTGGAAGAGGGGGAAAGGCAGCAATGAAGAAATAGACTGAATTCAACCGCATTCCATCGACTCCTGTTGACCTGAAGATGAGAGAGAGAAGAGGAAGGGCTGGTTGGTCCAAAGTGTGGTGAGACCTGGGACACTTGAGCCCATGGGCAAGGACATAAGCCACGGAGGGCTAGAGCTGAGCGTGAAGCATCCAGCTGATATGAAGTGAGGGGAGATGCACAAAACGCCCAAACTTGCAGTTAGTACCTACCTGTTTGACCTAGTGTCAATGGCTTGATAATCAGAACTCAACTAGAGGAAGATAAAAAAATTTTGATAAAGGAAATGAGGGTAAATTACTACAATTTGATGAACCTGACCTATACTCATGGAGGTAGTAACTCTAAATACCAACGGAGAGGGAAGGAATCTTCACATCAAGTATCAATGCTATCCCATCTGTACACATGGCAGATAGGGACAGGCAACTTAGACATTGGCTACCCAAAATGAGGGGGCGATAAAGTCATGAAGTGACAAGCTTACAAGGTTTCAGGAGGGAATTTAGTTCAAGACTGTGTTGGGGAAGACAGAGTCCCTACTGAATAGTTTTCATCTTGTCTAGATGGGTCTGGTTAAAAGAGATGGGGATAAGATTCTTATGATTCAATAGTGAATAATTGTTATCATGACTAATTAAGACTGTCACAATTGTAAAGGTAGACGTTTTGTAGCAAAAACAGGTGAGTGGTTAATCTTACAGTCCAGAAACAGGACCCTAGGACCACCAAGGGAGAAGAGGAGAAGAGGAATGTGAGACCTTATCCAGAGAAGCAGCAACACCAGAGATGGATGCAGAGATGTGGACATGGAGAGGGGGAGCAGCTGAGGACTCTAGATTAATGGGAAGAGACGGGCTAAGAGCTGATGGCCAGGAGGCTGACTTGTAGAATGTGCTCTTTAAAGGTGTAAATTGTTATATATGTCTGAGTGTTTTAAATTTTAAAAAAAGAGCTAAAGTGAATAGAGAGAAATACTGTTAACTGATGGTACATGGAGGGGATTATAATCATTGTAACGAAACAAGGTGTATGATTTATTGAATGTAAAATGATGATCTGCCCTGTAAACTTTCACTCCATTCACAATAAAAACTTTAAAAAAAAAGAAAAGCCATCCTGGTGTTTACAGATGCGGCGGTAGTTTCCAGAAGAATCGCGAAGGAAGGGAAAGAAACAGTTACCCTCACAGAGCAAGTGTAGGGCAGAGGCTGCTGCTGTTTTCCTGTAAATTCTGTGCTGTGCTTTTTCTCTGCCTTTTTTAACCATGTGATGTATTTCTTTGATTCAAAATAGTAAGGCAATTTAAAATTTTTTTTTTCTTCTAATTGCAGCATTTACCCTCCAATTCCAGGACAAGAGAGCTCTCTGAGGTGGGCAGGAAAGAAGTTTGAGGAGATCCCAATCGCACACATTAAGGCATCCTACAATAAGTAAGCCAGCAGTGACTCTTTCTCCTTCCCAGGGGAGGGAGGGGGGCGTGGGGATGGTGCCTATCAAGGCTGAAAGTGCTAATAATGAGAGAACTCCACTCCCACCCTATCTTGTTTGGGAAACCCACCTTCATGCTTTTTTGAGTATTTTTGCATTCCATAAAAATAAGAACTAGGTTGGGAGTATCCTATTTAAACGATGGATTTGCTTTCCTTGGGAATAATACAAAGGGGCTTCAAAAAATTCATGAGCAAATTGCATTCGTTTTCATTCCATTTTTGCACGAACATTTTGAAGCCCTTGGTATTTCCTAGCCCTGCTCCAGAACTGGCGAAGGTGTGTCTTAGAGCCAGGTGCCCCTTCATACAGGTGCTCAGTAAGTATTACTGAGTACTGAACACGGGGGGCGGGGACAGGTAAGTAAGGTGCCAGGTACAACTTAGGAATGTGAGATTTGTTACAAGCTAACCAGAATGCCAACCTCCAAATAAACGTCACTGGACTGTACTCGCCCTGGCCCCTGAACTGGCCTCAGCTCTGTAGTGCTGACTGGAAATGGTGAGTTTAAACCAATGCCCAGACTGAGAGACTTTCCAGTGGGCTTGGGGAGGGCTTCCAATCAAGGCCCAGCAGTGGGCATATACTGACGTTAGTGACCACTCTGTAGGTCAGCCCCACTTGGAAGCAGGGTCAGTGTTTGGTCACAGAGGTCCATGAACAATTTAGTGAACAATATAGACTTTGGCAGCACAGGTGAAATGCTACAGGGAGGGCCTCCAAAAGCGTCCATCAGAGATGGTCAGAGGGAAAGCCACTGGGCTGCTTTCTCCTCCGTTCTCACACTGACGAGGCAGTGGGCTGGCTCTTTCCACCTTGAACAGTAACCGCGTCCTCTGTGTCCTCCTTCCCTCCCAGCACCCAGATCCAGGTGGTGTCTGCCACGCACCAGCCACTGGCCCGGGCTTCCTGCGGCACAGAGGGGTTTCGAAATGCCAAGAAGGGCACGGGCGTTGCGGCTCAGACCACAGGCATCGCCGCTGCAGCAGTAAGTGACGTCCTTCTGGCGCATTCTGCTCGCTGCCTGACTGATGACTCACTAAGCTGGCATTCAGAGGCAGCGGGTATTTACAACCAGTGTTAGATGCCCTGACAGTACTGGCTGAAGGAGGTGTATGTGAAAATGCTGCTCTCGTCTCTCTCATGGCTTCATCAGAGGTGAAGTGCACAGTGGTTCATTCCAGGAGACAGCAGAGTCAGGGCCCTGGAGGCTTAGGAACCACAGCCCTCTCTTTATTAAAGCTGGTGGGGTTGGGAGGGTGGGGATGGCCTCTGTATGGAGAGGATGTGGTCTGGGGAAGGCTCATTACCAGTTGGAGTGAGAACTGTTACAGACCTTTCTAGAAGCTAGTTAACAGCATCTGCTACTGGTGTGTTTATTGGTGGTTGGTTATGTGCCGTGGAGTCGGTTTCGACAAATAGCGACCCTGTACAGGGTTTCCGAGGCTGTAAATCTTTACGGGAGCAGAACGCCTCATCTTTCTCCCCAGAACAGCTGCTAGTTTCGAACTTCTGACTTTGCGGTTTGCAGCCCAATTCATAACCATTCTGCTACTACACAGAGTTCCTATGTTTACTGAGCATCTACTATGTGCCAGGCTCTAATCCTCAAACCAAACCTCACATTGACGCTACAGGACAGAGGGGAGCTGTCATACAGGGTTTCCAGGGCTCTCGATCTTTACAGAAGTAGACTGTTACTGCAATTTTCTCCCACAGAGCGGCTAGTGAGTTCGAACCACCCACCTTTTAACCAGCAGCTGAGCACTAAGTCACTGCCAACAGAGCTCCTTGTCACCCTCAGGGTAATTCACATTTTTACAGGGCTTCAAGCCAGTTCACTCATGGAGACGAAGCAAAACAGGAACTGACCTGAATCTGTAAACTCTGGGTGAACTGGGATAACACCCTGCTAGAAACATCACATCCCTCTTAGAAACCCAGGCGACATGCACATTGCATTGTACCGAAATCTCTTGACAGCAACAGTGCTCTGCTCAGTGGTGGCCGGTCACACTGCTGTGACTGGGGCCCTCTGTCCACCATCCTGGGCACAGTCCTTGTGAGTCTCCCATTCCACGGCTGCGACCTAGAATTTCCCAGTCCAGTGGGTCATTCTGCTTCACCCACATTGTTTTAATTTGGTTCTCTGCCCATTTCACCTCCTCAGTCATGGCTGAAGGGATCGAACTAGCTTGAAGCTCTGCATTTTCAAGAGCCCGCTGATAATCAGCATTTGTGTCTTATTTAGAGTCCTGTTCCGTCCTCTGATCGGAGCCCAGATCTTCCTGGGACCAAAGTCCTATAGCTCAAGCCTCACAAACACTCCTCCTCTGCCAAACGGGAGCGCTTCCTGGGGGATTACCCGGGCCTTGGAGCAAAGCTCAGTGTCCCCAAGTGCAGCTACATGTTAACAGGCATCAACTGAAGTGTCTAAAGGACACTTTAACAATGGACAGATTATATATGACTGCGGGTTAATGTGCTGGACTGCAGAGTCGGTTTGAACCACAAGGTCAGCAGTTCAAGCTCACCAGGTGCTCCCCAGAAATCCTATACAGGGTTGCTATGGGTCAGAATGGACTCGACAGCAGTTAACAACAACAGTGGATAGATTATATATGACTAAAGGAGATATATGTGACCAAAGAGCTCTGGTAGCATAGTGGTTACGAATCGGCCTGCAAACTGCAAGGTCAGCAATTCAAAACTACCAGCTGTTCCATGGGAGAAAGATGAGGCTTTCTGCTCTTGTAAAGATTTACAGTCTCGGAAACCCTGTACAGGGTCGCTATGAGTCGGAACCAACTCCACGGCACATAACAACAAAGGAGATATATCCATGGTCATGGTGGGTTATTTGTGAATTCTATGCAATTTTTAGACTTCTTTATAATCAAGAACATATTAAACTACAAGGATTTAAATGTTAAGAACACTCTAACTGGGTATTTAGGCGCATTCTTGATGTCCACCTCCTGACCCTGGAATTCTGCGTTTCTCCACCTGGGAAAGGCCTGAGCAGGATTTAGGATTCTCCATTAGGTGGCAGTGCTGTGTGGGCTACAACCTGGAAACCACTGCCGAGGAGTCCACTCAGACTCTGACCCTGGGTGGGGTTCCCGAGGATGTAAATCTTTACCTGCGTAGACAGCCTCATCTTTCTCCCGTGTGGCAGCTGGTAGGTTTGAACTGCTGGCTCTGTGGTTAGCAGTCCAGTGCTTATCCTACAGTGCCACCCATGATTCCGAAAAGGCTTACTGATAACCCACTGCCCTTGAGCTGGTCAGCTGTGCTCTGCGCAGACTCACAGGCCCTCACGTGGATAGCCATGGTCCGCCATGTGCTCGGTGGCTGATTTCTCAGAAGTAGATCACCAGACCTTCCTTGTGAAATGACTCAGTGGGCTCAGACCTCCAGCCTTTTAGTCAACAGCCATTAAATGTTTGCACTCCCCAGTCGACTGTAATTCTCTGATCCCCACATTGTGGCCATCTGTCCTTCCTTCTCTGTCTGTCTGCCTGTCTGTCTGTGTATCTGTAGGTATGCATGTGCCATCTCTCTGGGGCTTGTAACCTGTTATTCCCGGTGGCAACAGCCAGACATTTGGCTAAGTGGCTCTCTCTGGGGACACTAACCAATTGCTGTTTCTCTCTAGAAAGCCACAGGAAAGGGTGTGACCCACATTCGAGTTGTAGTGAAAGGCCTGGGGCCAGGGCGCCTGGTGAGTACCCAGGATTCTCTGCAGTGTGTGTGCTTTCTTCTTTAGTCCAGAGAGAAATGGGGCTCCCCCAGGAAGGGGAAACGTACCCTGTCATAGGCCATCCTGCTGGCTTGGAGCTTCTCTTGTTCCTATAACCGCTTAGCTTTCCAGGGCAGACCCTAATGGTTCCGTGTTGTCTGTCAGACACTCCCTGAGCGCCTGCTGTGTGCTGGCCCCTGGAATGTGAGGGGGTTCTGGGGGACCCACACCAGTGAGGGCAGTTACAGGGAGGGAGGGAGGGTGCTGCAGGAGGAGGAAACAGCGTGTGTTGTTGTCGGTTGCTACGGAGTCGGTTGTGACTCACGGCATCCCCATGTGTGCAGAGAGCTTTTCTCCTTGACTGTGACCTTGTTTTCAAGGCTGTGACCTTTCAGACACAGACCACGAGCCCTAAAGCGCCTTTTAGCCAATAGTCCAGCATTTCACCCAGGGACCACAGCATCAGTAAAGTTTCTAAAGGGTGAGACTAGGGTGTGCCATGGCCATAGTCGTTTTGGTTCCTGGACCATGGAGCTCAGGATGGAAAGTGCCTGATGTGATGGGACAGGTGGGCTGCAGAGAAGCCGATGGTGGGTTTGAGTGGTGACCGTTGTACGCCGCACACCGGCATTCCCAGAGCCCTGTCCTCTGCTCTTTCCAGGCCGCCATCAAGGGGCTGACCATGGGGGGCCTGGAGGTGATCTCCATCACAGACAACACCCCCATCCCACACAACGGCTGCCGCCCCCGCAAGGCTCGGAGGCTGTGAGGGAAGGAGGCAGTGAGAGCCTGGCTTCCATTCTGCGTGGAGCGGGACCTCCCCGAGCCCGGTGCCCCAGCCATCTCCAGGGGATCCGGTCCCGTAGTAAGGAGAGAGCTCCACCTTCTTACACAGCGGCCTTCATTCACCTCTTCACGTGAGATCAGTGTCCTAGACGGGAGGTCAGACCTGTTACGGACAGGACACAGAGCAACAGAGACATGTGGCCCAGGCGCCAACCAGTAACGCTGCCTCTGCTCCAGAAAAAATAATCATAATAAAAGCATGTCTCTACCACCAGTACTGACTTGTGATGTGAGTCTTTGCTTCTAGAGTCAGGAACAGTAATCCCTCCTCCTGAAAAAGACCGTGAGTTGAGGCGAGATGCAGGTGGAAAGGTAAAAGGCGAATGTGCTGCTCCCCAGACACCTTCCCTTCAATTTTCCGTTTTTCTTTTGTTGTTCTTGAGCCAATTTCCAGAGCGCAAGAGAGTAGTTTAGTAACAACTTGGAATTCGGCCACAGATCGGAGTGGTGGTCCTCCTACCTCTCTGGTGCATTCCAGTGTCCATTTCATCGTTAGTGGGCATGTTGAAACCTACCCCAACTCTGCAGGATGGTCCTCCAGTGCAGATTCCACAGAGCTACGTCGTCGTCATCTGTCACATACTCAGTGGTCTCCAACGGTTCCAGGGCCAAGACTGTGTGCCCCTAAACAGGAAAGGTTAGAAACGTATAAAACTGAGGACTCTCTAGGAAATAGGGTGGACTAGGGAGGGGAGGCAAGTATAGTGCACAGCCCAGATACTAAATAAGCTTAAATCTGTGTCAGTGTAAGATACCATCTTCCAGAAACAACAGAAAATAAAAAATGCACACACCTTACACACAAAGACAGAAACAGATTTAAAGTTAAAGAATGGATAAAATGTACCAAGCTAATTGCAATAAAAAATGAGCAGGAGTGGCAATACTAATCTCTGATAAAATAAAAGTTTAAGGCAAAAACCAGCATAAGAGATAAAGGACATTAATTATCTCATGATTGAAGGGTCAATAGAACAAGATGACATAACCGTAAATAAATAGCTACACTTCCATGAAAGAGCCCCAAAATATATAAAGCAAACCCTAATAGAATTGCATCCTGGTGTGGCTCTGTGGGTTAATGCGCCAGACTGCAAAGCTGTTTGAAATGCACGGTTGGTGGTTCAAGCTCACCAGCTGCTCCTTGGAAACCCTATACAAGGTTGCTATGGGTTGGAACCGACTCGATGGCACTTCACAACAATAGAATTGAAGACAGAAATGGACAAATCTATAATTATAGTGGGACATTTTAATGCACCACTTTCAAAAAAGGATAGAACAACCAGAAAGAAACGACAAAACCCCCACACTTGGAGATAATACCCACTTGACCTGGCTTCAGTGACTGGATGATCAGAGCTCAACCAGAAGAAAGAAGAGGGAAAAAAAGTATTCTGATAACAATTTGATGAACTTGACCTACACCTATGGAAGCAGTAGCTCCAAAGAGGGAACAAGTCCTTACAGCAAGAATCATTCCCACCCCCTCCACATACAGCGTAGACAGGGATGGGCAACTTGGACACTGGCTACCCAAAATGGGGCGGGGGAGCTACAAAGACAAGAAGTGACTGGCTTACAAGCTTTCAAGAGGGAAACTCCAGTGAGTAGTATCCAATCTGTCTAGGCGGGGCTGATGAAATGAAATGCAGATGGGTCTCTTGTGATATGATAGTGAATAATTATTATCAGGATTGATTGTGAGGGTTAGAAATGTAAATGTTTTATAGCAAGGAGGGGAGTGATTAACTTTCCAGTCTAGGTGCGGCAGTCCCTAGGACCATTAACGGAGAAGATCTGAGTGTGGGACACTACTCAGAGAAGCAGTGATGCCTGAGATGGAGGCAAAGATGATGACATGGAGCGATGGAGCAGCTGGGACTTGAGATCCAGAGAGGGAGAGGGGCTGTGTGCTGAAGACTGGGGGTGGGGGAGGGTAGTGTAGGGAGCAGGCTTGTAGGGTATACCCTTTGGTTGGTTGATGATACATGGAAGAGATTGTAACCATGACAATGAGACGATAGATGATGGAATGAATGTAAAACTAATGTTCTCCCATGTAAACTATCACATAATTCACAATAAAACGTTTAAAAAACACAAAAACTCGACAAAGACACAGGAACTAAACAACACAGTCAACCATCTTGACCTCATAGATGTGTACAGAGCATTCAACCCAACCACAGCACAATACATATTCTTTTCCAGGGCACATGGAACATTCTCCAGAATAGACCATGTATTGGGCCACAAAGCAAACCTCCATAAATTTACAAACATCAAAATACTACAAAGCATCTACTTAGACCACAATGCTATAAAATTAGCAATCAACAATAGGAAGACCAAGAAAATATAGTCACACACATGGAAACACAAAAACACCCTGCATAAAAGCTACTGGGTAGTAGGTCAAATAAAAGGTGAATTCACAAAATTCCTAGAAACAAATGAGAATGAAATTCAACATACCAAAATCTCTGGAACACAGCGAAATAATACAGTGCAGAGTAGTCTGAGGCAGAAAACCCAAACAGCCATCAGTGGGGCATTGGGGACACGGGCAGCCTTTAGGGGCAGAAGGCAAAGCTGTAGCGGCCAGACGAGAAAGACCCCAACTCGGACAAGGCCCAGGGAACCAGCACCCCCGGAAGATTAGAAAGGGTGCTTCCTGTACTGGAAAGCCCCCTGTGTCTGGAGCTGCCACCTGGAGGGCCTGCTGGCCAAGGGAGAGGGAGCAGGAGTTCTGCTAAGGAAGACAGGGCTAGAGAAAGGGGAAAGGCCATGAACTCAAATTTGATTTAGAAGAACTTCTCCCCTCTCTCTCCTCTTGAGCAGCACCCGTGAAGGTTAATCTGAGACCAGAGACTAAGGAAACCCATCTGAAGGCTGTTTGTGTTAAAGCCACTGCTGGTAGGACTGTCACTCCATAAAGTAATGTAAATCCATTCCCGTCCAGTCAATTCTGACCCCTAGTGAGCCTACAGGACAGAGTAGACCTGCCACATAGGGTTTCCAAGGTGTGGCGCTGCACGTTAATGCACTGGACTGCAAGGTCGGCGGTTCAAGCTCACCAGTCGCTCCTCAGAAACCCAATACAGGGTCGCTATGAGTCAGAACCGACTCGACGGCACTTCACAACAATGATCGTTACTCAAGTAGACTGCGACATCTTTCTCCGACAAAGTGGCTGGTGGGTTCAAACCACCAGCCTTTTAGGTCACAGTTCACAGCCAAGTGCCTAACCACTGTGTCACCCGGGGCTCCTTAAACATTAACACAATGGATTAAAAACATTGGGCTCTTGAGAATTGCTTTTGTGATTGGCTATATTGTTCTTCTGAGCCGTTGAGTTGGTTCCTACTCATAGCGGCCATGTTTAATGGACCACGTGAACCTCAGTGTCCAGGGCTCTGAGACCAGAACTAGACGGTGCCTGGCTACCGCTCCAGCTGCTCTGAAAGGGATCACGTTAGAGGGTCCTGGATAGAATGGGAGAAAATGCAGAACAAAATTCAAAGTTATAAAAAAAAAATTAAAAAAAAGACGAGGCTTACTGGTCAGACAGAGACTGATGGGACCCCGAGATTAAAGCCCTTGGTAACCCTTCAGGTCTGGAACTGAACTCACCCCTGTGACCCAACTATTAGCCACACAATTGACAGGTAGATAGTGGGACAACAACACTAATGAGGTCCACACACCATAGAATGGTCAACCATCCGCTATCAAAAGGGCAGTGGTGACCCAAGGGCACAGTCCAAAAGGGTAGAGAAAGAAGGAAGGAAAGAAACGAGGAAGTGGGGTAAACGGTGATTATACTGAGAGGGCTGTGCTCAATGAGATGACGGGAAGCTGATGATCGATCTGCTCTGTGAACCTCCACTCAGGTCACACAGTCTCACAGAAAAGAATCCAAACCCAGGAGAGCCACTGTAGTGTGTCCTTGGACCTGAGATTAATGTGCTGGGCCCTCCTTGATCCAGGGGACAGCTGACACCAAAGACAGAGGCAGTGAGGCAGAGAGACTGAGCGAGTCAGTGAGAGACAGAGAGGCAGTGAGAGACAGAGGTGCTGAGAGACAGAGGTGCTGAGAGGCAGAGGTGGTGAGAGACAGGTGCTGAGAGACAGAGGTGCTGAGAGGCAGAGGTGCTGAGAGACAGAGGTGCTGAGAGACAGAGGTGCTGAGAGACAGGTGG